CTACTATGTGCATTCGGTAACATAATTTTAACAATTTTGGATACGGTTTAAAAAAATGTATGTACAGTTGAAAATACTAGACTTACAACAAAAAATTACTGTTCGTAACAATTAATATGATTATCCAAACAATAAAATCTCTGAAGATGACGAAGTGATATTAGATCTCATGGTATCACAGTAGATTTTACAATTTTTTCCGACGAAAAGGACTTAAAAACACTTAACTAGTAGGCAGTAAATGTGACTATTTTTACTGTGAGGTTATCTTGCACTCTCAACCTTAAAATGGAGAAGAAAAAAAAGCAATTCTATCAGAGTAATTTAAAAAATCACAGAAAAAAAGGGTGGGTTAGCGGGTATCACTTTCCTGGTGGTAATTTGCATGTAGATGAGAATGCTGTACCTATTTCCCTTGGTACATAACTTTTAATTTTGTAGAAAAGTCATGTTCAATTACTGCTAACTATAATCCTACAAACTCTCTTTATATTATCATCACGTAAACGATTTATTTATCGAATTTTTATTACATTCGTGTTATAGGCAATCTGTATACACTTACCGGTAAAAAAAAGTTAGTTGGTTTGGTTCAATATTGTAAAATTCGTTAGATTTCTTAAGTTATTTCAGAACTCAGAATAAAAATACTTAAATTACTATGTCTACTTTTTCTAATCAACACACGACTCTTAAACATTCGCTATATTATACAATCGGATTCTAACGCTAAAGTAAAATTTCCTTTTTTTAGTTGTTAAACATCAATAGAGTTACTTCAAAGTGTCGGTCTTTTGCAAGCAGAACGTTTGCTTCATACGTAATAATCTTCATTTGAACAATTAGAAGTATTGTGTTTAATTGAAAGTTAAAAAAAAAAAAAAAAAAAAACGGTTAGCAAAAGGAAATGTAATATAAAGTTCTTTTGAAGAAAGTTCTTACTTGGTGCTCTGCATAGTCGATAGATGAGTACCCAACACGTGAAAAAACACTTTCTCAACAAGAACTACTTTTTTTTCTTCGTTAACAGATCTGGGAACTGGTGTACTATTTTCTCAAAGCCATGGCTTGGACAGGGCAACAGATAAAATTTAATCATGGATGCCTTTTGCCTACTGTTTTCTCCAAAGTGCCGTGCCTCTCTCCACCAATTCCAAGCTTAGTACTGTTGCTCATCGGCGGCCAGCAGCGGTCGCTCTTTCCATCTCACTCGCTCTCACGGTAACACACTCGTAGGTGCCGTAAATGTCTTTACGATTATTTTTCTCGAAATTTTGCTCTTGACAGAGTAAAGGAAACAATGCCACGGAGATTTCCCGCCCCCCACACTTGCTAGTATTTTTATTTCCATTGAATCTCTTACTTCTCTCTTACAGATATAAACGGAACAAGTTTTAACTCATTTCAAATATTAATTTATCACTAGCCGATATTCTGCAATGTCTTTTTTTTTTTATTAAATTGAAGGTAAAAATTAAATTAAAAATGAGAAATATCTCGATTGAAACAAAATCTAGATGAAAAACGATTGATCCGTACTAAAGTCACATGAGGGCTCGTGTTATTTTCTGCGGAGGAATTTGTTACGCACGCATGGAATATCTCCTGGTCATGGCGTACACCTGTCTTCGGACTAACTCGAAAAACGAATAAAAGTTAATGGTAATATACTATTGTACGTAAATACAAGACACTTAATACGTTCTGCGTGAATGGATGTATCAGAAATTGTACGGTGTCAACTCAGCATTTTCGCTGGTAACGTTGGCCACTTTCTACAAGAATATCTGGCCGCACTGTTCAATTGTGATTTGGGGGTGATGATAATGCCACAGTGTAGATAAGCACAGCACATGATGTATTGAGTTGTCCACTGTTCATGAGCACGTATCGCTGAACTCAATGTGATTCTGATTTTCCGTCGGTGTTTTTCTTTCTTCGATTGAAAAGTGATTCATTTTACGAAAAAAAAAACCCCCATGCAAGTAAAATTAAATGAATACACCAGCAGTAATATTAAACAGTCGTAGAGTATGTGTGGATTTGGGGCTTTACGGTATATCAACTTTATTATCACTATCAGTATTCATTCTACTTACTACAAACATTGCACATTTCAATACTTATATTATCTGCTTGTCTCTTTTTATCAGAATTTTCAAAGTCACTCGGTCAATGTACCTTAAAAAGCGTAACGTTGTGCCACAGTTAAAGTCGTTCTAACGTCAAAATTATTGTCCCGTACAACATACGTCCATAAAGTAATCACATTAAAACATCTTTAACTCTCGCGTAATAATCGAATACATAGTGATAACGGGTGTCTCCTTTGTTGAAGCAGTAAAGGTTTTGTAATCTTACCACTATCGTCTCCTGATAAGGCCAGCTACGCCAAGATGGCTGTGTTGCTTCACAATATTATGTACATTTAGGGAACAATACGAATCTTCACGCTTTTCTATAGACATCGAGAAAAGTGTTGGTATTGAAAAGCAATGGGTGACTGTAAGTCTTCAGATGTTGCTCGTATAAATCTGAATAAATTTTTGATTAGATCGATTTTGTTTATGTTACCAATGACTTTGAAAAATTATCCAATCAGAAATAAATAAAAAGTACTTCTTTTTATATTTGGAAATCGTTAGAAGTCGACATTTTAATTAAAACGAGTTCCGTGTAACCCTTCAACATTTGATACAAAAGTTGTGTTTTATTCTAGTTAGGCTGCTACAAGACAAGGAGAAACAACATCGTATTATTGTAAATACTATGTTTTTCTTGAAAAAATTAAAAACACGATATCAGTTTGTTCTTAATTATCCTTGACGTTGTTTATCTTCTTATTGTCTTCAAGGATAGATTAAGGAATTTTTGTACAACTCTCAAATATTTCTATTGTTTAATTTTAACACTTTTTTTTTTTAAGTTGAGCTTGTTAAAAAAGGTTTAATGATTTTTTCAAAATGCAGAGAAAGCAGTAAAAATTTTAACAGTAACTACTAAAAGTCTTAGGAAACTGAAGGAATTGTTTCAATATTTTTTACAAAAAAAATTTTTATTAATGAAAAAACGAGCCTTTATTTATTCTTGCCCATATAAGCTTATATTAGGACTTGAAATTTTATTAATAAAAAATGATTTTGGTTCAAATCTTACTGTTTACGCTGCATTTTGAAAAATCACTGTACCACCTTGAGCCAACATTTTGGACCAACTTCGACTGAGATCTACTGAGAAATACGTTTGAAAAATGTTGGCTAATAACTTTTTTATGGACATTTTTGGAGAAGTCCTTTTTTCGGTTTTTGCTGCGGTTTGCGAAAAGTTTAAAACCGATCAAGCCGAAATGTTTGTATGTTGAAGGCTATAATATCTACCTTGTGTTAAAATTTTATCTCTTCATATTGTATAGAACACGAGTTATTGAATTTCGAAAAAATAGCTCAAAATGGCCGTCTTTTGCCATTAGCGAGAAAACGGCTGAACCGATTTGAATCGAACGTGACTCATCTTGTTCGTCTTAAAATTGCACATCTTTTTGATACAACAATTTTTTTGTGCGATTCTTTGATTTTCTTCTAGACGATAAAAACATGTTTTGGTCATTTTGGCCTTTTTTTTAGGCTTTGGCTGACATTTTTTTTTGTCCAATCTTAGGACAATTGATGCAATAGGTGAAAGCTAGCAATCAAATTTTTTTGGAGCTAATAATAATTTCCTTGCTCGAAAAACTAATTCTGCCCCACTATCTCTACCCCAATACGAAATGCATAAAAATAGCTAAGTAACGTAGACACATATTTTTTGTTTTAATTTAAATTTAAGTGTAACTAATAATTTTTAATAAATTGTTGGATATTTTTTGGTGTAAATAATTACGTGGTGTGCAAAATTAACAAAAATAATAATTGGATTTCTAATCAAAGAAAAAAAAGTATCGGGAAAGAAGTTTCAACAGATGTTGGATCATGCATGAATTGCATGTTTATTTTTTTCGTCATCAAGCAAGGTTAAGCAGCAATGTGGAGTTTTCTAGTCTCTCTATTCTTCAATTTTAATGTCTATTAATGATATATTATACGTTATCAAGCCCTATTCTTCTTGTCAATATTTTTCACCAAGAAAAAAAAATTATACAATAGTTTCTGTGCTGAAATGACAATTTAGTATGTTCCTGATTCCACAGGGCTTTTCAGTCTTTTTTCTGTTTTTACAATAATTGTTCCTGGTATGAAAGGTAATTTTTATTGTTGAGTTTTACCGTCAATACAGTAGAAATTACTTTCTAGTGTAGTAATAATTAGGTTACCAAAAGTTTCTAGACAATGGCATATATTATATATACCAGTTTACCATTCTAGCACAGTAATTTTAATAATTCTTTTTCTCTCTGCAGAGTTATGAATTTCAAAATAAAAATACTGTAACATTGACGCAAGTATTATTTATTTTATCAAATAACTTAGCAAAAAAAGTTACGAACTACACGACCTTTATCATTGTTATGCGAGTAGTATTATCTTGATTGGTAGAGATGTGACTTGATAATAGAGTCATTCAACCTTACGGCGTTGCTAAAAAGTCTAATTTCTTCGCGCGTATCATTACATGCATTGTCGCTGACGCGTATCAAACGCATTTAGAAAGGATAGATGAGAAAAAAAAAGAAAATCGAGAAGGTACCATTTAGCAGCAGTAACTTAATAAAAGTGTAGGGGTCCCGAAGCTCACCGTATGCGTACATTTACGTACGTAAAAGAATGAAAGAAAGAGGCGGAGGATGGGTTATATAGCATCAGAAGGCAACATGAAAGGGCTTTTAAAGGGATACAGTCGAGCATATGTGCGTGTGCAGTGATATATATATATAT